CTTAACCGACTGCGCCACCCAGGCGCCCCAGCAGCGTTTCTTTCTTATTCACTGCACCCTGCTGCCGCTTTTCTCTTTTGCTTCTCTTCCTTTATCATTCCCTCCCCATAACCCTGTTGGTGTACAATGCTCTCCTCTCACATTTCGTGCTCCAAAACAAAGAATGAATCGTAGGCCCCAAAAGGCCCCAAAAGACTCCTTGCTATCTCTTCATAGTGCTTTTGTTCTTAGAGTACGTCTCATTCGCTGAATGCCCCTCCCCATTTTTCTAAACACCATTTAGAGGCGTCACCGCCTCCAGAAAGCCTTCCGTACTTTTCGTAGGTAGAAGCGCCTCCTCCCACTTTTTGTGCTAGCAAAGATCACAATCACAAGTCGATCGCCTGCTGCAAATTTGAGAAGGGGGCCAATCCACTCTGCTTGTCACAGCCACCTACCCCGACCACCACCCACACGCGGTAAGGAACTCGGAAAGACCTTGCTCTTAGGCCCTAACACTGACAGCTAGGAGGGTTTAGCCCCGTCCCATCGCGTCACGCGCGCAGCTCCTCCCCACTCCTCGGCGATCCACACTCCCCGCGAGGAAATGGTTCAACCCAAGGGGTGGTGCCCGGGTGCTCGGACTGTTCTCATTGGCCAGGGCGAGCCGTACCACGACTGTGGCGGGGGTACGGTTGTGAACTGCGCGCCGCAGGTTTTGAGGCTGTAAAAGTCACAGCTCCAGGCCCGGGTTTGTTCCTTCACTTCTACCTGCTAGGACGCCTGCCGGGATGCAGTGGGCCGTGGGCCGGCGGTGGGTGTGGGCCGCGCTGCTCCTGGCTGCCGCTGCTGTGCTGGCCCAGGTGGTCTGGCTCTGGCTGGGCACGCAAAGCTTCGTCTTCCAGCACGAAGAGATCGCGCAGCTGGCCCGGCAGTATGCGGGTGAGCCGACGGGTCACCGGGGGAGCGAACGGGTGGAGGGCAGGGGTCTGGGGAGGCCCGAGCTTAGTTGGGAGTTTCAGAGACGTCTTTCCCGAGTTCCGAGTGATTCTAGCTTAGATTCAGTTGTTCCTCTGCCTCCGCCAGGGTTGGACCACGAGCTGGCGTTCTCTCGGCTGATCGTGGAATTACGGCGGCTGCACCCAGGCCACGTGCTGCCCGACGAGGAGCTGCAGTGGGTGTTTGTGAACGCGGGCGGCTGGATGGGCGCCATGTGCCTTCTGCACGCCTCGCTGTCCGAGTACGTGCTGCTCTTCGGCACCGCCCTGGGCTCGGGCGGCCACTCGGGTCAGTGCTGGCAGCGGGCCGAACTGGGAGGCTGGGGCTGTACAAGGGTCCATGCCCTCCTTTCTGATGTTTGGCCAAGACATATATTGGTGCTGATACCCTGATATTCGGTGTCCATCTGATTGTCCCTCAGGGCGCTACTGGGCTGAGATTTCCGACACCATCATCTCTGGCACCTTCCACCAGTGGAGAGAGGGCACTACCAAAAGTGAGGTCTTCTACCCAGGTGGGTCCCTTCATTCTGGGGTGCCCATAATTGGAGGAGGGTCATGGCATGGAAAGGGGGTATGTTGGGGGCTCTCCCCTCGGTTCCCTTACCCCTCAGATAAGCCACAGGTCATTATTGGTTGAAGCAGGTCCAAGGGCCCCTGTCCAAGGACTTCTTCTGTCAAAAGGAAACAAAACTTAACCATTTCCTGTTAACCACGTCCGATTTTTATATACCAAGACACTGTTTTGATTCATCCAATATTCCAGCAGTTGTTGGAGAGACAGTTGGGTAATCAGATATGCTGTCATACCCCCAAAGACAAGACAGACAGTTGTCTTCATTTTTTCTATAGTGAAACATTTTTTTACATAAAAAGTAGAGCTATGGATTTCCACATAAGTTTCAGATTGATAAGTTACAGGCATGACAGGCATTATAATTGAACATTTCTCAGACAGCCACACAAGTCTTATAACCACCCCTCCCTATCTAACAGGCCCAGCCCAAGTTTAGCTAAATTTCTGCCTGACATGAGTGAGGCTTGGGAATGCAGACTTCCAGGACTCCCATACAGTGGCCCCTGGCCATGTGAGGTGGCCCTCCTTGGCTTACCCCCAAAGAGGACATGAGCCAGGTGATGCCACAGAGGAAAACTTAGGAGTGGCCATCTTGGCTTCTTACTCTTCCAGATGGGCGACCAGGCCAGTGAGGTAAGGCTTTTTCCTTTCCTGATGCTCCTGCTCTGTTTCTTGCCCCTAGACAGCCCACGGGCTAGGGAGGTGGCAGCAATGGAAGGGCTAGGCTCCTTATGTGGGTGCTCCCTGTCCTCTAGGGGAGACCGTGGTCCACGGGCCTGGTGAGGCAACAGCTGTGGAATGGGGGCCAAATACATGGATGGTGGAGTATGGTCGGGGTGTCATCCCATCTACCTTGGCCTTCGCGCTGGCTGACACAATCTTCAGCACCCAGGACTTCCTCACGCTCTTCTATACTCTTCGCGCCTATGCCCGGGGCCTCCGGCTTGAGCTCACCACCTATCTCTTTGGCCAGGACCCCTGACCAGCCAGGCCTGAACGAGGACCTGTGGATGGACAGGAGCAGGCAGGCCTGCATACATCCACTTTCTGGAGCCCATGTGAAAAGACAGGGACACAACATGCAACTACTAAGTTCCTGATGTACGAGCAGGGACACACATGCTTATGTAACCAAATACAGAGACTCGTGGGAACATATGGGACATACACGCAGATACAATCCCATGTGTACGGCAGCATCATACGTTCACAACCATCCAGAGAGGGAACCCCACATGTACCAAGGGGGCCAGTCATATTCAGACATACCACAAGCTTGAATCACTAACTCAAGCCTTTTCCAGAGCTTTCCTGCCACCAGTCAAGGCTCTGGAGTTGGTGATGGGTGTAGGTATTATACTCTGTCTGGGCCTGACCCTTCAACCCAACAGCAGCTGAGGTGGGAGGGAGATGAAGGGTTGCCTGTGGAGGCCCCCCTCATCTCCCCATCCTCACCATATGCCTTACCTCATTCTGTTCCCCTTACTATGCAAGTGCTCTCATGGCCTGTCCCCACTCTTAGCAACTAAGTCAGCTGGGAGAACCGTAAGAATGGAGAATGCTGAGGTCAGGGTCCTTCTATCCTGAAAGACCCCATGCCTTTCCCCCATTCGTCCCTTAGGAGTGTGATTGGGGGAGGCTGGCCTCAGCTCAGGGCCCACTGCTGGGCAGAGGACCTAGAGAAGTTAGCCTAGGTCCAGGGGGCCATCCCTGGCCTACAAAGGCCTTTTCTGCACACATACACCCTCATCACAGCTTCCATATACTGCCCTTGATGTCTGTCCACCTGTCTCTGTTAATAAAGACTTGTTGAACAGTCATTTCTTTGTGTGTCTGAACAGCAGGAAAACCTGCTAACTTGAAATGCAGGGGTGGGTAAGATGGTGTGTGTCTTGGTCTTGCCTTCTGCTGGTGCCATTCTGAAAATAGTCCTGGAGTCCGATCCTGGGTGGCCACGGGGTGGCAGTGTATACCCACTTTTGGGCTAATGGAGGCACGATAATCATTTTTGTCTTTCCAGTATATCCTGTCCACCCCCACCCGGAGTAGAAAGTCTTAACTTCTCCAGGACACCTGACTTGTAGAGGCCCCCAGGGGTAGAGAGCAGACATACCCCCTGGTGGTGTCTGAGGTGGGTGAGGCAAAAGAGGTGTGTAAGGTACACTTGTCCCAGGGACTCTGCATTTGCCTTCTTAAATTTTGCACCTTGACACCTCACCTACCTCACCTTCTCTGAGGTTGAGTAAGATCCAGGCCACTCTCACTTCTTAGGCCTCCTGATATATCAAAAGTGGAAGGAACATGGTTATAAAAATTGTAGATTCTAAAAACTCAAATTTCTAGTGAACGAAATACAGAAGACTACATGTACGGCCATTTGGAAACAACATCAAAAGTTTATAAATTTCTGGGGTGCCTGAGTGGCTCAGTCAGTTGAGGGTTGAGTGTCTGACTTCAGCTCAGGTCACGATCTCACAGTTCGTGAGTTCGAGCCCCACATCAGGCTCTGGGCTGATCGCCCAGAACCT